GATGCTGGTCACAGGTGCTGGCGAAACGTTAGGAAACAAAACTTCCAGAACACGACCACACTGCCCGGAAGACCTACACCAGCCATTCCTTTTAATTGTCCCCAAATTCCCTCATGATTCGAAGTAATTTTAAGTTATATTAAACAAATATGTTCATAAATAAATTACATCATTCAAGGATTCTTACTTCAGTGTTTAACACGTCATGTTCAGGTGGAGCTTCTTTCTGCACAGACTGGGTAGATGTTGTGATGAAAGACTGAGTTAAACTTTTGGGTGGATGAAATGCATTTATGAGGTGACTCAAAGAAACTGTAACCTAGTATAAAAGACAAGCTTTGTTAAGACACATGTAACATAACTTAGTTCTTAAATAACTATAAGAACCCTAAGCTTTCAGGCATAATGCACAAGCCTATTTTTTGTAAACAGTTTTGTAAGCAGTTCTTGCTGTATATCTCAAAATACATTTTAAACACTGAATCAGCGTCATAGACAGAAATATAATTTTTAGTAACAGATTGAAAACTACAAAAAAAATGGTTTTAATTTTGCAAATGCTTAAAAACTTTTTAGAAGCAATCAGTTTACTACTACAGGATACAATGTATAAGAAATGCCTCCCACCCAGCAAAGTAATTCTTTTCCCTGAACTAACTTTAATATTTTGATTTTGTGAAATAAGTATTTCTTGTAAATACCCATAATCAAATTAGATCACTGAAACTGGGAATATGTATAGTATTAGCAATACATGTACAGACAATAACAACATACTGATTTACCATGTTTGCAAAACTATCTGAAAATGAACAAAATATGTATTGCTGGTATCTTATCCAATATGACAACATACAGGTAGTTCTCAAGTTATGACCATTTGTTCGGTGACTGTTATGATGGTGCTGAAAAAATGGAAATGACTGGTCCCCAAAATTACAGCATTGCAGAGCCCCTGCAGTCATGTGATCATGATCTGGGTGCTTGCCAACCCATTTGCACTTATGACCAGTTGACAAGCACCTCATGATCACATGATTGCCATTTGTAACTTTCCCTGCCAGCTTCCCACAAGCAAAGTCAATAGGGAAGCTGGCAGCAGAGGTTACAAGTCACTCAGGTAAGTCTCCCCACCCACCCTGGCCTTTCTTCACTTGCACACAATGCACCCTCATTCCCTTTGCTTGCACGCATGCACCAGCACCCTCCTTCCCTCTTTGCTCAATCACATGCACAGCCTCCTCCTCTGCCCTTCACTCGCCTGCGTGCACCAGTGCCCTCCTTCCCCCTTTGCTCACTTGCATGCACTGTGCCCCCTTCGCATTGCACTGGGGCTTTGCAGGAGGGAAGAGAAAGCCTCACAAATGGCCAGCAGCTTCCAATGTGAGCTGTAGATTGTGTGCCGGAAGCACCCCTGGAGAGTCCTTCAGTACCCGGAAGCGCCCCCCCCTTGAGCAAGTGAAGGGGGAAGGAGGGCGCTGGTGCATGCAAGCAAAGGAGGGTGTGGTGTGAGCGAGTGAGCAAAGGGGGAAGGAGGGCCAAGAAACCCCTAAGCCACAGCGTGGCAAGCAGCCCGAGAGCCATGCAGTTCAGGGGCTGTTTGCCACCCCGCAAGGCAGGATGCAGGGCAGCCAAAAGGGCAGAGAAGGGGGGAGATAGGCAGGTGGGGAGAGTTGGAGGCAGTCCCTTACCTAACTGAGGCTCAAGGCTGGGGGGGACCAAGCCCAGAATGGCTTGGATTGGAGTGGGCCCTCAGCTAACGACTGGTGGAATTTGCTTAATGATGGCAATGGAGAGTGCCAGGATTGCCATCACTAAGCAATGCAGTCACATGACATCTTGCTTTACAACCATATTGCTTAGCGATGGAAATTCTGGTTGTAAGTCGAGGTCTACCTTTAACTGACACAGATGATACCTACTGACACCAGATATTTAAGAACTATAAATGTTAATTCCACCTCATCTGGTTGTTTTTAGACATGTGAAAAGTTTATATTATAATAGACTTTCAAATAGAATGCTACATAAAGCTAAACAAAAGTTTTTTTACTGAAAATGTTTAGGACATAAGTATGGAGCTTGAAATTGATACTTAGGCCAAAATAATAAATCATGTACAGTCTGTGTTGTTGGTATGCTGTATCTCAGCCACAATAACTACCAACTTATTAACCTATAATGTTACTCTTATAAAACAAATATTTAAACAATGTAACTACAAATGAAGAATACTGATCAATTTATATTTAATACATGATATGCAACAAAGGTGACTGTCTGTAATTTTGTAATTTCCATTTAAAACATCATCTCATTTTTTCATCAACTAAGGTAAAGGTAACAGGCAGCCTGTCACAGCTTTTGGAAGTATTTTATGGCCAAAGCAAAAATACTTTTTATGACTGGAAGATCAGTCCTTCACTGTAAAACAAGACTTGGATCCAAGGCTACAACTTTGAAAGGTCGATTCAGATTATCTTATTTTGTATCCCTGTAACCTCAGAATGCTTTGATTCTATACAAAGCAACCTCTCTAACTAATAAATGTACTGGACTACAAATTCCATACTTAAGCATGTTGAGCATGAATTATGGGAGTTGTAATCCAACACATCCATTGGACACAAGATCAGAAAAGAATTTAAAAATTTAGTTACTGGATCATCTTCTCATAGGTCCACTACTGAATTACAGTATTTAGTTTCTATGAACCTAATCCTGGGATTTGCCAAAACTGCCCTCAGATGTTATCTGAACCTAAAATAAGGTCTTGATTCCCACATAGATAACTTAGTACTTCTATATTTGCATAATGTGCTGAAAAACTCAAATGTTTGGTTTGGGTATTTGAGTTTAGGGTGAAAATGTTAAGCAAGAGTCTATAACATTATGAAACAGGACATAGATTCGCTCTCAACTCCCAGTCACCACAATAAGTTCACAATCAATAGGCACAGAACAAAAATATGATGTCATAGTTAACGAACAGAACTTATCTCCACAAAGCAAGAGACAGCCATTAAGTAAGAGCTTTTTCAAAGGAAATTAATTGAATTAAATAAGGCGTTCCTCTTCAACAGCAGTATGCCTTTAAATTCAATTCAAGGGGCTACCGTCGGCATGCTTCTATCGGCTTCTGCTGATTCCCGTGAAAGCAAACTCCAGCATATTTTTAAAAACTTTCTTTCCCTCTTTTCCCGCAGATCGTCTGAAACCTCTACGCCCTACCAAGGAAGGAAGCCTCGCCTTCCCAGCCTCGCCCTTTCGGAGCCTCCCTCCCCAAATCACTCCTTCAGGACCCTGTTTCCCTTCCGCCCCGCTCCGCCATCCCCGATTCTCTGGCTACGCAGAATAGCGGCTTCCAGCTGCTCCCAGGGAGGCCTTCACCTGAGGCTGCACCGTAGTAGAAAAGGAAAGCATCCTTCTCGCCACCCGCCACAAAAGCGGCCCGACACGCTGTGCTCAGACCGAGGACGCCTCCTCTTCTGCGGCCCCTACGGCCTCGTTCTTCGCGGGGAAGGGGACTCGGAGGCTAATCCGCTCTTCCCGAAAATGGCCGCCTCCCAGGGCTAGAACAGGCCGGGCTGAACCCCGCCCGGCAGCTGACGGTTGTCCGGAAGAGTGCTTCCGGGTGACCCCGTGACCCCCTATCTCCTAGCAACGGGGGGTTCAGGGTAGCCCTGCGCTCGAAGGAGACGGTTGGGGCTGAGCTGGTCCCGCCGCCTCTCGCAAAATGGTGGCTGGGAGGATCTGTTCGGTCGGACGTTGAGCTTGTGTCCGCGCGATGTGGTAAATCACAGGGAAGCGTTAGTGAAATAGAGGCGCTCTCTGTGGCGCAGACAAGCAGGGCGATTGTTTGGGCCAGGACGAAAAGTGACTAGGATGCCCCCTCTTTCTTTCTGGCCTCCCCTTTATCCCGTCCCTGTCCGCCTCATAGTTCCTCTTCGCCCTTGGCGGTGTTAGTGCTGAATAAAGGGATCTGGTGCTTTTAGTTTCCTCTCCATCCCTGTGTAATGAAGGCGGTTTTATATTCATGAATTATTTTAATTTTAAACCGGTTTAAAACGTCTTTCTGGAGGAAACAGTAGTTTTTCACCCTCGCACCAGCAAACTAACCTGGCTGTTCCTCTTGCAGTTGAACAGCACTCTGCGTGGAACTGGGATGATCAAAGCCACCTTAGTGTTGGACTAGCTCGGGAGAGCCCCATTTTCAGATCCGTACTCAAGCCTCACTAGCTGACTTTGTGCCACCACAATCTCCCACCCTCTCAGGATTCCCGCGGGGTTATGAAAGCCGCCTTGAACTCCTGGATATACATCCTTGAACACTGATATAGTTGAAGGGTGGATATAAATTTGAGGAATAATTAATACTCAATTTCAGGAATAATAATATTACAGCTTGACAAATCACGCTTGTTCCTAATATCATTTAGAGGCAAAGATGAAAGGACACCCAACCCAAACAGGCACAATTGCGTTGATGACTGCCGGATCCAGAGCGGCGTTGCTAAGAGAGCGAAAGCCGAGTCGAGCCCGCAGCAGGAGCGGGGAAACCGGAAGCGTTGAGGATGAGTCCCGCCCCTGTGAGTTGCCTTGGTGGCTAATGCGTCATACGTCCTTTCGGTTGACGTACGACGTGGCGGAAGCAGGGGGTGGAGCTTAGCTTTGAATTGTAGCGGGGCGAAGCCGCGGTTCGGGCTGCGCGCAGGGAGGCCCCGGAGAGGAACGGGACTGTGGCGGCAGTGATTGTGATGGCGGAAAGTTCCGCACCCCGAGACTGTTTGAGAAAGGAGGAGGAGGGGGGCGCCTCGTGCGGGAGACGCATCACCGTACCGCAGCCGCCCTCCATCGAGGATTTTACCATCGTTAAGCCCATCAGCCGAGGCGCTTTCGGGAAGGTTTATCTGGGTCGCAAAGGCGGAAAGCTCTATGCCGTCAAGGTGAGGTGCCCGCGGGTGGGGCTGGCTGGAGCTTCCGAGCAGCTGCCGCGGAGACCAGTTAATAGTGGAAGCCCAAAAGCTCGCTTTCATTTGGTTGGTCATAGGTTCAGTGCCAAATTAGGCATATGCCCTGCCAGGGTTGGTGGGGGTTTTGTTTTGTTTTTTCCTCTGGTAGTTCCTTGATTAGGGTATTGTTTACTGCTTGATCATGGTGATAATCTTGGTGTTAATCTCTGCCTATCTGGGTGATGATTGCTGGTGAGGAGATGTTCTGGTCTTTTGTTTTCCTTTCTATTGTC